ATTGGGGGGGTTCTGGCGTTGCCCGTTGGGGCCGGCGGGGCGTTCGGGGGGGGTTTTTGGGGGTTGTTGCCTTGGGGGGGGGTTGGGCCACTTTTCAGAAATGTGTAGGAAGAGTGGGGTGCACAGGCCTGGCAGTGTGAGGCAGCCTTCGCAGGTCCTGGAAGGGGGGAAGTTTGCATGCTGGGACCCGGGTGCAGAGTCAGACCCTAGAGAGAGCGAGTCCTGACTGCGGAGGGCAGACGCTCTCAAGGAGCTCGGCCTCCTCCCACTGCGCCGGGGAAGCTGCCAGCAATTTTAGCAGAACGAGCTGCATTCTGGAAGGAACACTCCGGCTGACCGTGGTGGGCAGACTGGAGCAGCAGACTGAAGGAGGCCAAAGCAGGGCTCTCTGTGCAGCCACATGGCAGCCTGGCACAGAGCCAGGCGCGGTCTGGCCAGGGTCCTCAGGTCCTGGCCCTGGTGGGACAGCTGCCCACAGTGCCCATACAGCCCCCATAGAGCTCAGGGTGACACACCACAATGCCCTGGAGATCCGCCCTCATGCCTTCCTGCCGTCGTTCCAGCTCTCAGACTCGCATTCTGGCTCTTCCCCCTGGTCTCCACTCTCACCTTGCAACAGGCTCACTCTTGCCAAAGGCTCAGCTCCCAACCCCAGCTCGCCCGGACCAGAACAAGCCCATCCCTTCTCCCCTCGGCCTCCCCGCCCCACCTCGTTGGACTCCCAGTTGCTCAGCTGAGACTTGCCCTGTCTCATTTTCCCATGGATGACTCACGCATCGGGCGAGGGTGAGGCCAGGGCTGCCGGGGCAGGGGGAGAGCTGGTGGCAACAGCTCCTCCCTGGCCTCACGGCGTCCTCAGGCCCAACTGAGCAAAGTTTTTCCATCTCATGCATGTCTGCTGGCACAGTTAGGGCCTGTTTATGAGCCCAAAGAGGCCTTGACCCTACCCTGCGGTCCAGCCAAGCCTTCCTAGGGTGAAGGCCTATGCTCCTTCTTCGAAATTTAGAGCAGTCAGGACAGCCATGAAGCAGGGTGCCCTCTGCCCCATGAAAGAGGCAAAGACTCCCCAAAGAGGTTATGTTTCTTTCAAAAAAACCTGGTCTTGAGCCCCAGACCTCTGTGCTGTGAGGGCGCTGGGAGCCCTCAGACAGCCAATGGGCTTTTACAAACGATAGTGAGTGATGGCCCATTGCAGCAGCCGCCCCTGTGCTCACGTCTGCTGCGAGCCGACCACGTTCGAGGGTCTATGTTGGGGGTTCTAAGAGCAGCACACTCTTCAGAGGGGCTGGGACTCTCCAAGAAAGAGCAGAAACTGAAGCTGGGTTTGGGCAAGAACCAAATCCCACTGGAACTGACAGGGCTGCGTGTTCTAAATGAGCAGGAGCACCAGAATCTGGAGCCTGCGTCCCCCGCCTCCCCCTGCGCCTGCCCCTGTCCTTGTCACCCCGTGCTGGCTGTGCCCCCCTCTGCCCTTTGCAGCCAAGCTCCCAGAAGGTCCCTAGTGCTGGACAGAGGAAGTATTTCCCAGAGCTCCCCTGGCTCCTGGTGGCCAGCTCTATTGGTACCAGCTGGCACTGATCTCCCCACCAGCGTCTGGGCTCCTGGGGGCAGGGACTGGATCACGTCTCTCCTTCTCTGCATCCCCGGGGGCCAAGCATAGCGCCCAGACCATAGAGGGATTTAGCTTACTGAAAGTGGGCCCTGCCTGCCAAGGCCATCCGCTCACAAACACGCCCCCATCTGAGTGCCTGGATGCCTCTTTATGCCTGAGTCCCCAACTTCAGTCACCCCTGGGTTGGATGGGAAGGGCAAGGATTCTATTTCAGAGGCTGCTGTTTTATGGAAGGATGGGGACGCTAACTCTTTCCCATTAACATAGCTTGAATCAAGGGAGGGGCGCCAAACGCCCTCTCTCCACCACTACCACCCCGCCTCCCGTGGAAGTGCGGCCATTCTCCCCACCTTTCCCAAAGCCCATGGCAGACATCGCCAACTGGTCACAGAGCTCTGGGTGAGCCCAGATCTTTCCCAGCACTGACCGGGGTTGACATGCAAGAAGCTTATTTGCCACGGTGGGATTATGCTATCCATGGACAGCTGTACAGCCTAAAACGATAATACATGAGGTATTTGTAAAAGTTCCGTTGCAATTTAGAAATTCTTATTCCTCTGGGAGACGCGGTTCACATACCAGAGGAACGGGACACTCCCGTGGACTCCGAGACTGGGACGCAGGACGGAGAAGCTTCGATTGGAAGGCAAGAAAAATCTGAAGGGGAACAAAGCAGGTGGGAAGCACAAAGAAGTTATTAAAGAGACTTCAAATTGCCGAAGGGGGCCACTCGGCCCCCTTGCTCAGGGTGACTGTGAAGTAGGCCGCTGCTTCGCAACAGGGGAGGTCACGCGTGTGCGGACGACGGAGCGAAAGGAAGGCAGAGCGAACCGCTGAACACATGGAAAGGTCTCAGGGGTCGCCTGACCAATAGTTTCTGTATAAGTCAGGGCAGCCATTCCTCTGTACCTCAGTTTCCCCTGTGTTGAAATTATTCCTTTTAAACCAACCAGTAAGGAATACTGGCCTGAGTGTATAAATCACAGGGAGACAAGCTCTGCCCAGAAAGCTGAGCCTCCTCCCATGGTAGCACAGGCAGGGTGACCTTCTTTAGAAGAGGCATCTATAGGGACTGAGCTGGCCAGTGTGACATCCCCTGGTCCAGGCCAAAGGTCCCTCCTTCCTAGAACTACTGAGGCCATATCTACTGGGGTTGTAATGTCTCCGCCTACCCAGACTAGAGATTTCAGAATAGTTATGGGTTGGGAAAGTGGCGGTGGAGAGAGAGACGCTCCAAGCCATGGGTCTCTGTGGGCAAAGAATTTCACTCAGCAAACAGTGTGGTTCCTGCCCTTTGCGGGGCAACTTCATTTTGACATAGACATGAAATGGTCATGGTCAACCCACCCCGCCCCCACCGCTCCCAGGCCTAGCACTGCAGTGGGGGAAGATGGGTAGAATGGGGGAAACGTGTGCAAAGAAAAGGCCTGGATGGGCGGGGGTCCCAAAAGGACCTAAGCAGCAGGAGACCCCCAAGTATGGGCCTCAGGCCCAGCAGTTCCCCTCTCCTGACGGTGAGTCCAGAAGCCATCCCAGGAGAGGTCCCCCTCTGGGTACCAGGCTGGCCTCCTGAGTCCTGAGGCCCTGGCTTAGCACCGCGTAGAGGACCGCCCTCTGCCAGGCGCGGCTCGAAGCCAGGGGGCCAACAGCAGTGTGCAGGACAGATGGCAGGACCACAGCAGGGAGGGGGCTTTGATGCCAGCTCTCCGTCATGCCATATGAGGCCAGGCCTGTGGCCGGCTCAGGCGTATCCCGAGCTGGGTACGTCCTGAGAGTCTGAGATGTCCAAAGGGCTGAATCTTCATCCTCAGCCCCTCGCAGCCTTCTGCCCTCCTCCCGGCCCCGTCCATTCCGTCAGCTCCAGCGCCTCCTCCGCGTGTCCACGGCTTCCGCCTCGCCATGTGAAGCACAGTCATGCCCCCTCGAGCCAAAGAGGGCAGGGGAGCTGGCAAGAAAGAACAGCAGTTACGGAAGGCAGCGCTGGGGAAAGAGACTTGCCGGCCTCCCGGCGTTTCCCGAATCAGGACAAGCACGGAGAACAGTGTGGTGCACACTGTGGTCAGTGGAAGCTGCCTCTCCGGGCCCCCCAAGGCCTGTGGGATCCACGTGGATCGATCCTCAGCACGGCCTCTCAGCTAACCCTCACTACACCGTGGGAGGGGTGGACCCGAGGATCACAGGGGGCACTAAATGGGGCCCCCAGGCTCACTGGACTCCCCACTTATCGACGTGGAGAAGACGCCTGCAGGTGGGGGAGGTGGTGTGGGAGGTGCTCTGGGGGTGGGGTGGGTACAGGTTTCCACCGTAGGAATCAAGACTAAAGTGGTATAACTCTCTCCTCGGCCCTGCTCCTAGTTCCCACGGGGAGGGAATGGCATCTGGGGAAGAGGGCACAGGGCTGAGAGCCAGGGTTTCTAGGTTCTATTCCTGTCCCTCCCCTGGGCCTTCCTGACCACAAATCCACCCCCACCCCTGCCCTACTGCTCACAGAGGATTAGAACATCACAAATAACAACTCACAGCCCCATCCTGCGTCCGCCCCCCACCCACCCTGCCCCAGTGCCCCATCCCCTCCTCCGGCTTCTTCTCCTTCAGCCCAGCCAGGCCTTGACTGGCACTCCTGGCCTGGCCCGCCCTCCGCCGACTCCCCTGGTCTCCCAGCAGCTCAGCCCCAGGGCCCAAAACCCACTGTCAAGAACGGGTAGCTACACTGCACACTCAGCCTATGTGGAAACAAATCAAATAATAATTTAAAAAGGAAAATAAAAAAATGGGTAGCGGAGTCCTCAGGCCCAGCCAGGCCAAGCCCTCCCACTGAGGCCCCGCCTCAGCCGTCCCCAACCCTGGATGACTCCTTTGCTAACAGGGATACTGTCTTTCTGCATCAATTCCATGTTCAAACTCTAAGCCAAGCCTTCATCCTAGAGGAAGGAGGGTCGTTCTCCGCCATTCATCTCCACCCTTGGTTCTCCCAGGTGGCCAGAAAACCAGTCCAGCAGCGGCCCTGGGTTGGGGCAGAGGCCCAGCAGCTGGGGGTGTGCAGGCCAGCCTCCTTCCACCTGAGTCAGGGCTGACCCAACTCGCGGAAAGGCCATCCCCAACCCTGGGCTCCCCTTCCAGGGCTTCCATCTTTCTCTCGGACCCCTGGGTCACATCCAGGCCCCTCCTGCCTGGTGGCCCAGGGGAAGATCCAGCTCTGCTCAGTAGGCCACCGGTCCAAGCCTCCCATGCTCAGACTCCTGGGTTCCTAATCTCTGTCGGCCACAGGAACCTTCCCTAGGATCGTCCCACTTTGAAGTGGAATGCTGTTCCCTCCCTCAGTAGAGGAAGGAGGAGCAGGGAAGGAAGGAGAAAAAGAGGGCCCAGTCCCCTGGGGTCTTACCTGGCATGACGTCTGGGCACCGCGGTGGTGAGAAGCGTGAAGGTAAGACGGTGCGCCTGGTGCTTTAGGACACGAGGGTCCCGGGCCCCAGGCTCTGCCGGGCCCGCACTGTCTGGATGGCCTGCTGGTTCTTGAACTTGACCAGGCCTAGGGTGATCTGGGCGTTCCAGCCGGGGTCTTCCAGGGGGCAGCGGAAGTCGATCTCGCCGCCGCCCTCGGTCACCAGCGTGAAGTAGATGTGGCGCCCGGTGCTCTCCACGCACTCCACGGCCTTGATGCGGGCGAAGCTGAGCTCCTTGGGCCGGCCGCCCGTGCCCTTGGCCTCGAAGAGCTGCAGCCCGCGCTCGGTGAGCACGCAGCGCTTCCGCTTCCACAGCTGGAGCAGCCCGCCGCTGCGCTTCTCCAGCACGCCCTCCTTGAGCACGGTCGCCGCGGCCGTCATGGGCGCCCCGCGGGTCCGAGACAGCTGTAGGCTGCGGGGGGCGCGGTCCCCTCCCGGCCCCGCCGCGCGGGATTCTGGCGCCCGCGGCTGGCTGGCTGAGCGCCCTGCCCGCCTGAGCCCGGACCGCCCCGTGCGCGCGCGCCGCGGCCCTCCGGACCCCGCTGCCCGGGCGGTGCGCGCCGGTGCCCCTGCCCGCTCCGCGTCGGCCCTGCCCGCTCGGCGGTGCGACTCGAGCTGTCCCGCCCCGCCTCTGCCCGCTGCCTCCGCGCCGCCCGCCCGCCCGCTCCCCTGGGCTCCGTGTGCGCTGGGCGGCCGCTTGCGGGATGTGCCCTTACTTGTCCCGCCGCTCGCCGCCTGCGCCGCCCGCCCGCCGCGCATTCCTGCCCCGGCGGCCCTGCCCTGCCCTCCCCTCCCCT